GGACCGAGAGAAAGGCTTCCCTTGATGATATTAACACTGAGGCAGGATCATAAAGGGAGAATGCAGTCTTCAAGATAGCTTGGAGCCAAGCTGTTTAGTACTTGATAGGTTAAAACCCAGCAGTTTGAATTGAGCCCAGAAGTGGATTGGCAGCCAGTGGAGCTACTGTAACAGCGGCGTTATGGGATCCCTGTAACCAGCCCCAGTTCACCGTCTGGCTGCAGCATTTTGGATCCACTGAACTTTCACGCAGGTTCCAAAGGCAGCCCCACAAGTTACAGTAATCCAGCCGGGAACTAGGGCATCTGTCACTGTGGTCAGGGCAGACCTCTCCCGGAGTGGGTGCCTCTGGCATACTGTCTTAACTGTGCAGAAGTTGTCCTAACCATCACTGAAACCTGGACATATATAGGCTCAGAGATTAATTATGGAGTACACTTATGTTGTGCACCTGTGTTTCCAGAGGGAGTGTAACCCTGTCCAGTACAGGCTGGGTCCCCTCCTCCCCTTTTGTTTTTTTCTTCATTAGATGACCTGGAGTTCTTTCCTGTGAGAGAGACAAAAGTTTCTATTTCTATTTTACACACTTCATAGTTTTATCCATTTGTACAGTGTGACTTCTGTTCCCCCCTCCTCAAAAGCCCCCAAACATGCCGCCTTCCTTTGCAGTCAGAACCTCATCTAGCCTTGTGAATTTACGCTTCTTGTGTTTTTGACCTCATCTGGCCCCCAAAAAGTTGTAGTTCAAGAGCACATTCCCGATGTGTGGCTGAAATGCACTGAGAATTTTGCTCAAATACCCCTTCTTCTTTTGGTGGTGTTAAAGTTATGAATAGAGCGTTGCAGCATCTTAAAGACTCCTCAGTGTGTCCTGGCCTATCTTCTGTGGACTGCTACATTCTACCTATGAGAAAATATATATATATATAAAAAAATCAGCTGCTCTGAATGTCTGTTTTCAGCAGCTAAGCAGGGTCAGGCCTGGTTTGTATTGGGGGAGAGGACTCCTTTAGAGAATGCCAACTAGAGATGGGCACGAACCGGTTCGTCTCAGTTGGTGCCTCTCCCCCGCCTCCTCAGCTGATCCAGCCACTCACCAGGCCCTGCTTGCTTGCTTTTTTCCCACCTCCTCGACTAATCTCCCAATCATGAGCAAGAACACAGGATTCTCTGCCCAGCCCTTGTCTCTGATTGGGAGATCATCCAAGAGGGCGGGGCAGAGAAGCCTGACTGGAAGATCAGTTGAGGAGGTGCCCAAAGCTACCACGCTTTGGGCCTGGTGAGTGGCTGATCGATCCAGAGGAGGCAAGGGAGGAGAGCAGCAGCACCTGTGCTGCTTCCTTTACAAACCAGGACGAACCGGTTCGTGCCCATCTCAGTGCCGCTTCCTTTACAAACCGGGACGAACCGGTTCGTGCCCATCTCTACCAATGATCTTTAGGTAGGCTGAGGAAAGAATATTGTCTGACACCCTGGAGCACCATAGCTTCCAGGCAGAGCTGACAGTACAAGCTTAGGCTCTCTGACTCATGATACGTCAGCTTCCTACAGACAACAGATGCATAAGAAAGTAGTCACCAAGTGAGGACATGGGTTGCTTCTTTGCTTTCCGTATCCTTGATCTGTGTTGTTTTACACACTACTACACACTGTGATGCAGAAGAGCAGCAGTGGTAAGTATACAGAAGTATGCAAATTTGTGGTTTCAGATTCCAACACCCAGAATTCCCTTGGTAGCCGTGGGAGTCATGCTTCCTACCAGTTGACCAGACCCAACTTATTTCAGCAGGGTGTTCTCATGTTTTGAGAAACTCCATTTGTCATGAACTCAATCCATCATGTCTAGCCCACCGTGCTTCATGAAGTGGGTGAGTGGGATGCAAGTGTAGGGCATCAAGTCATTAGAAAAAGTCAGATTGGTGTGAAGGAAAGTGGCAATTACAGATAACTTCAGAGCAGAATGAGTGTTTTGGCTTCTGGGCCCAAAAGGGTGGGGTGGGGAATGTTTATCTTGTGAAAGGTGAGAAGCACTTTGAAACAACCTTATAATTTTTTCGCTGTGTAATTTCTGTAACAACGGAGGGCCACCCACATTTCTAAAAGCCTGAGATAGATGTGTTCCTTGACTAATCACAAATCTTGGTGGTATGTTACAGTGTGTTCAAAGACACACCTGCTCTGCAAACATTTGAGAGGATGTGTGGTTGATAAAAAAATATATGTCTTTTTAATCTGGGCACTTCAGCAAAGCTGCTTCCCTCCTCCCGCCCATCTACTGGCTGGGATCTCCGTCTCCAGTGCCCCTCTGTGCTTTTGATTTTTCTTCTAGTTAAGTAATGCCTTTGTGAATTTCTTTGGAGGCAGTGCCCTTGGAGGTACCTGGGTGTGGCATTAAAGGACCCTGGATTGTGAGTTCAGAGATCGGGGTGGTTGAGAGTGAAGTCTGCATTCTGAAGAAGGCTGTGCGTCTAGAAACATGAGCAGTTTCATAGCCTGTGGGCCAGCGCTTGGCACATGGCAGGAAAAAAAGGGGGGCAGCACCCAATTAAACCAATACTGTATTTTGAACAATGACCCATACAGTTTATGATAAGATTATATGCAATGACATTGTTCTAGATAAGAAAATATACAGTTGCAAAGAGTGAAAATCTGTCAGGAGTTGCTTTCTCCTGCCTTCAAATTGCTTAAATCCTGAGGGGTTTTTTTTCTGTCCCAAATTGAAATAGAGTGTATATCTTTGTAAAGTCTTCAGAAACAGGCTGCAGCAAATTTCTCCTGTATGTGTACTGTACATATAAAGCATGGAATGGACCTTACTGTAGCTGCTCTACCATACAGGACTTAGGAGTTCCTCATAAAGAAGAAGCGGTAACTCAGATTCTACAGTAGCATGGCTAAATGCAGAGTGTTTTAATCCCAGACATTTAAGAGTGGAAAATTGAAAGATGTATGAATGTTGGGTTTCCATTTAAATTTACAAAGAAATTTGCAAACGTTGGTAACACTTGTGAAAAACTGAATGCACTCTACTTTCAGTGCATTTCTGATCACTGGTAATTGTTCTCTGTTGCAGGATATCCCAAAGAGGGTTAGATGGTTCTTTAGCACATGTCTGAGGGCTGAAAGTGAAGTTTTAGGATGTGTGCAGTCTTTGGCATTAGGGCCGCTACACAGTAGGGTCGTAATGTGGTGGGAGCAAGAGAATAGGATAGCTCAACTGGCTGCCACTCTCTTCTTAATTCACACAAAATGTACTACTGAACTATAGTGCCAGGATTCCTTTCGTTCAGACGATTTGCATTGTGGACATGCACACTGTGTGCAGAAGAGCATATCTGGTGCCTCTGTGTGCAAGCATAAGTGGCATTTTCAGTGGGAACCGACTCTTGCACAATGGCAGTCCACACAAAATGTACTACTGATCTCTAGCGCCAGGATTCCTTTCATAGATGGTTTGCATCGTGGACATGCACACTGTGTGCAGAAGAGCATATCTGGTGCCTCTGTGTGCAAGCATAAGTGACATTTTCAGTGGGAACCGACTCTTGCACAATGGCAGTGTCTTCGCAGAGGGTGTGATCCTGTATTATTCTGCCAGCCAGGCTTTCCTCTCATTAAAGTCTCCATAAGACATGTTTTTTAAACACTGGCCTTTCCAAACAGGGTTATTCATTGTGCTCTTGCTGTATAGACTCACTGTATAGACTTTGCCTATTGCCTCACTGTCTAATACACATGGCATGAAAAGAAAAAGGAGCGGAGAGGGAAGAGGAAAAGTGGCCAGTGAAACAGCTGTCCTTTCACTGATCAATGGATGGAACTGGCTGATCTTTCTTTTTCCAAGATGTTTCTGCTCAGGAAAAGGGAAACCCCTGTTACCGTTTCATCATCCTCTGGCCAGTGGCAGAGTCCAGAGTGATATTCCCTTTATTAGGCGAGCAAAGGAAACTATCTTTAGGACTGGAGGTTGGTCTAGATTGGGGTGAGCAAAATGTAGCCGTTTAGATGTTGATGGCTTGCAACTCCCAGCATTCTTCACCATGCTGTCTAGGGCTTATGGGAGTTGCAGTCCAACAACGTCTGGAAGATCACACTTGCTTTAGTCCTCTGAAACTCTCCTTGTACCTCTTTAAAGAAGATCTTGGTTGTTGCATTTTCCCACTTTGGGGAAATATTTCCCTCTCATCTTGCCGCTGGGTCTGCAGTAGAAGTTCTGGAAATTATATTTACAGTACTTGAATCAGCTCAGTAGTCCCTTTAGCCAGGTATTGTTTTCTCCAACTAACAGTGACTCAGGTTTCTAGCAGAAAGTTTCCCCAGCTTTAGTGTGCAGGGAAGCAGAGGTTACAACGTCTTTCCTTCTGCATGCAAAATTTATTTTCTATTGCTGAGCTATCACCCTGAGTATAGGGTGCATATTTGGTTCCTCTAGGCTCTGGGCAGCCTTCTGGAGACTTGGACAGCTACTGCGCAGGAGTTGAAAGTGTGGTTTTAACACACCCAGGAGTTTCCCGTGGCTGCACAGATCAGTAATTCTGGGTCAGATGTCAAGACTCCCAGAGCGGTTCACAGTAAAAGCAAAACCAAAATAAAGAAGTCTTACTTACAAGAAAAAAACATGATGCAAAGGGAATAGAGAATAAGGTGAAGGGGGTGTGGGGAGAAGAGATCTTGGCATTAGTTCTTAAAAATCACAGTTTTTATAAAATCCAGCTTGTGTGGAGGCAGTTTGAAGGAGCATCAGCAGCTAGGTGATAATTCAGGCGTTGAGTCCTGATCCTGGAAACAATACAGGATATAAATTGGATGAATGACTAAATAATTAAATGGACCAAGTAGCCATGCTTCTGTTCTTCCCATTGCCACATTTTGGCAGAATGGCTGTGAGTTCATTGTTAAAGTTAGCACCTTGTAATACAGCTTTGAAAGCACCATTCCTAACAATGCTTTCCTAAACAGCTTGCTTATTGTTCTCTTTTACTTTTTATTTCCAGATTTCCTCTTACGCGCAGTAGTTTTTTTTAAAAAAAAGCACAATGGAATTCTATGAATCTACCTATTTCATCGTCCTTGTCCCCTCGGTCGTGATCGCAGTCATCTTCCTCTTTTTCTGGCTTTTTATGAAGGAAACACTGTACGACGAAGCCCTCGCCAAACAGAAGAGGGACCAGAAATTCCCTCCTGCCAAGACTGATAAAAAGAAAGCCGAGAAGAAGAAGAGCAAGAAGAAAGAGGCTCAGAATGGGAACCTTCACGAGTCCGACTCAGAGAGCACCCCTCGAGACTTTAAACTCTCTGATGCTTTGGGGGCCGAAGAGGAGCACATCCTTCCCGTCGCTTTGGGTGTGGCAGAAACTGCTGGCAACCTCCGGGAGCGCAAAAAAAAGGAGAAGAAGCACAAGGGTAGTCCAGAGGAGCATGCTGTGAAAGAGCCAGAAGGATCCAAATCTACAGGGAAGAAGGTGGAGCCCATGCCCATTACGAAACAGCCGACCCCACCTTCAGAGGCCATTACGTCCAAGAAGAAAGCTGGGCCGAAGAAGCAGAAAAATGGAACAGGTATCGCCGTCTTATGGTTTGGGTGGGTCTTTTGTGGGCCCTGGGGAAGGGGGTGTAATTTGCCTCAACTTCACTGAAACCGTTGTCAGTAATAACATTTCTACCTCATTTTTCCAATAAAAATACTGCTCAGGGTAACTTACAAGCATCATGCAATAGAATAATAATAATAAAAAAGACAAGTGCAAATGAAGTCAACTAAACAAACATAATGTCAGGTTGTTGTTTTTTTAAATCCAGAGGCAACCACAAAACTGTTAAAATCAGTTAAATCTATGGGGGGGGGGAAATGAAGCAATAATGTCAGCTGTCTTAAAAAGATTTATCTTCCCACCCTTTCTGAAAGTAGTGAATCTGGTAGCAGACTGTGTCTGTTTGGTGAGTGCCTGTAATTTGGGAGCAGTGAGGAGAAAGTCCTTCCTTGGTTGCCTTGTCAATATTCTCAAGCCAGCCTTTCTTGAAGGTCTACTCTTTTATCGCATTTTTGAGTCACGCATGCTGTCAGATCAGCTTACATATCAGTTAGAAACAAGATAGCCCTGTCTTTGCTTGCAAAGCTTTTCAAGATGCAGCGCACACAGAAAGGGGAATGAGGAGCACAGAGGAAAACAAGCAAACTCAGATACAGAGAGCAGATGTAATGGGTGCAAGTGGCAGAAATATATCTTGGGAGGCCTCCAAGAGATAGTTTGGTAGCCACCAGAAAGGCACTAAGGCAGCCCAAAGCTGCCAGCTTTACAGGGAGGGACTTTCCTGGGATCTGCCTGCATTCCCAGAAAGGAAAAGATGGCTCTAGACTAGTGGTTCCCAACCTTGGGCAAGCCAAGTGTTCATAGCATTCCCAGAAAGGAAAAGTCAGATGGCTCTAGACCACTGCCCCCCCAGACCAGGTGATTCTTCTGTTCCTGAAAGGACAGCTGGTCATAAAGATTTCTGGAGAACCTCAGCCCTGCTGATGAAGGCAGCAGTGGATTGAGATGGCAGAATGGGGAAGTTAACTTTTAATTTGGCTAGAACCATTCCTCTTTTAAAATGTTCTTATTGCAATGACCATTCAGATTTAAGCCATTTGCTTTCCCCCCCCTCGCTACTCCAAAATGGTCACTCTGCATAATAAGTTTAAAGTTGTTTCCTGGTTTTAAAACAGAGGAAATTTATTCCTCTTATTGCAACCACCATTCAGATTTAAGCCATTTGCTTTTCCCCCCCTCACTACTCCAAAATGGTCGCTCTGCATAATAAGTTTAAAGTTGTTTCCTGGTTTTAAAACAGAGGAAATTTTCTCAACGTTTCTGAAAGACACTTGGGATCCAGAGAGTTCCTGGAGGAAATGCTTGCTAACGGCTGCTGCTCCATGTAATCCAAACGAAGCCAGTTTTTACTGCATTTATGCAGAGGCCATTGCAATTCGGGAAAGAGTATAATAAAAATAATCAGCAACAGGAAAAGGTCAAATCAGATGCTGTGTACAGTTGAGCCACTTTTAAACAGTAGATCCATGAATGGTGCTTTAAAATGAAGGCTTAAGAATGTTTCATTTTTCTTTTTGTTAAAACATTTACCGTATTTTTTGCTCCATAAGACGCCCTTTTTCCCTCCCAAAATGTGGGGCAGGAAGTCCGTGCGTCTAATGGAACAAAGGCCCAATTTTGTCGCTGCTTGCCCCATGG